TTGTGAAAAAAAAATTTCTTTTGTTAATCGAGAATTGTGAAAAAAATGTTTTGTCATTCATATTATGATCGATAGAGGGTAGCCCGGATTCGGATTGTCGTATCTCTGCTGACACATCTGATATGTCTTTTACTTTTTTTTCGACAATAGTATTCTGGCAGGTGTTTGTGTTCTAATGTTTTTTTATTTTTGTTAATTTCTTATCATCTAATGATTTATAGACAGGAGTAGTTAAAGTTAATCCACAATAATTGTCTGACATAAAGAAACACGAACACGTTGCTTGCTGTGTATAGGAAATTCCAGAATTATATTTTAATATTCCGAATGAAAACTAGGTGTGGTGTTAGTATATAAATGTCTCCTCATTATATTATTATCTTCATTGTCGTTTTTCGTCAGGTATAATAATCCTTAAAGGGATTAAATATCAACTTTTTTGTTTTTGTTTTTGTTTTTATTCGTAATCGATTTGTCGTCTGATTCTTGTTATTAAAATTCTAATACAAATGAATGATAAAGTTGACAATGTAGCACATGATAAATGAAACAATTTTTGAAAAATTATGATTACAATGATAATCATCATCATCATCATAATCAAACAGAAAAAAAGTCGGGCACGCATCCACCACACGTGTTAAAAATAAAATTAAATGAAATAATGACATTAGCATCATTTTCATCATAATCATCGTTTAAAAAAAATAGAAATTAAACAACTTAATTGTTATCATTGTAACTAAGAAATTTCATTTCATTTTTTGTTTTGTATGCAAATAAGATTGGATTTCTTCCGTGTTTGTTTGTTGTTTTTTTTTCGTTGTTGCGACAGGATTTCTTATTTCTATTATTATTTAGTCGATATTTTTCTATTTGTTTGTACAAAAATTCAAATTTCATTTTAAAATGTTTTATAATTTAATGATGATCACTGAAAAAAAAATTGTTTCCACCAATCATATATGGATTGATTGATCATCTTTAAATGGGATTTTTTTTATAAATATTTTCTTATCGGTCAAATATAATTTCATTCCATAACATTCATTGATGCAGAACAATGATTATCAGCATTTAGTGAATTGTAGTTGATGATAAAAAAAATTGGCAATTATCATCATCATCATCATCATATCGACAATCATCTTCTGATTGAGCAATTGGAAATAAATCGAAACAAATTGATCCTCATCGATTCAAACACGAATCACAGATACAAATACCCAAAACAAAACCATAGAAAAAAGTGTGTGTGTTTTGAGAGACGCACCCTTGTCACTTTTTTTTTGATACAAAATAAATATACGATTTTTTTTTTGACTATATCAAAATCACAATGATAAAATCGATTAGTAATCCTGCTTCTGTAACAAAAAAAAAAAATACAAAATCCTTTGACTGGACTTGAAACTTTTTTTTTCTCCGTTGTTTATGTGTGTGTGTGTTGGGTTGTACAACTAATCTTTCGATTTTTCTTTTTTTTCTTCGCCTTACACTTCATTTTGACGACATTCATTCATTCGAAGATAATATTCAACCGAATTTAAAAACATTATTTGTAGCTAATTTCTTTTTTCTTTTCTTATGTGTGTGTGTGTGTGTTTGTGTTGATCCACTTTGAAATATTTATTGGAGATTATTTTTGAATCCAATAAAATCATGATAATAATAACAGTGAATTGAGGGTGAGGCCAGAAAAAAAGGAAAGAAAAATCTAACGTCTTTCAAAATATTTACCATTTATAAAAAAAAAGATTGGAAAAAGGTTTTCTTTTAAAAAATTTACCCCATTTTCGCACATTATTAGTGAATTTTTTTTTTATTTATTGGTCAATTTTTTTCACATTACATTTATCATAATATTATTCTGTATTTATTTAAATTGATGGTCATTTGATTGAATTGAATTGAATATTTTAAGTAGCAAATACACATGGATACATATGGACACACACATTTAAATAAAAATGTGAAAATAATGTGTACGTGTGTGTGTTAAACTATGGTTAGAACCAATTATTTGCGTGAAAACCAACAACAACAACAAAATTCAAATATTCTCAATTTATTTGACATTATCCCGGTCTCTCTCTCTCTCTCTCCAATTTTCTCCTGAGCTACCTCTCTTTTGTTTATGTGTTTTGAACATTGAAAATGATAAAAATTTATGAATGAATAAACAAAAATAATAGAATTTTGCAATATGGTAGAATGAAACAAAACAAAAAAAAACATCAAATATTCAATGTGAAATATTCAAGAAAAAAAAACAACAACAAAAGAATCTTGAATAAATGAAGGATAGAATTTCTAATCTAATTTTTTTTCATATTTATAAACTATCCACGACAACATGCCCATAACCTCAACAAATATTTATTTAAAAAAAAACAACAACAATAAAACAATGATGATGACATGTAACCACAAAATTCAAAGTAAAATAGAATGAAAGAAAAAAAAATCAAATTACACTTGATATTTATGTGAACAAATAATAACGTACAACAGCAAAAACAACAACAAAAATGATAATATTTTTTTTTTTTTTTTTGTCACTAACACACTGGTTCTGGCATTCGGGATGATAAATTACTCTACAATGTTTTTTTTTTCATTTATTTATTTAGCATCAATATAAAAACAGCGACGATAATACAAATATTCATAAATATCATTCATTGAATATGCAAACCACAAAAATATTGACCCAGAATAAAAATGATTATTTTTTTCACATTACAAAATTATTATAAAATTTTCAATTTGAAAAAAAAAACATTATTCATTTTGAATCATTTAAACAAACATCACACACACACATGCACTGAATTACGGTGTGAAATAATCTAATTCTAATTATCATCATTTAGCTTAGCTAATTTTGTTTTTGGTCAATATAATTCAAAGTGTTTCAATAGTCAACTAAAACAGAGAACAAATATTTTCTTTCATTGCAAATTTAGATAATGATCCCAAAGAACAGGAAAGAAAGAAAGAAAAAAAAAGTCAAGTTGTGTTTTGGATAATAAATTGTAACCCATAAACACGTCCTACTACCATTCACAATCACCCTCATCATCATCATCATCATCATCAATGTTATTACTACCATCAATACAGTTGAAATCAAATAAAGAACGATCCAAATAAATAAAAAAATATCGAATCCAAGTCCGACCAAAACAACAACAACAACAAAATCACATGGTAAATCGTTTGTCGATTTGTGTCAACCCCACACAAACAATCAATGAACAAAAAAGAAAACGGAAAATCAAAAAAATAATAAAAATTATGAAAAGAATTTGTAGGGTCAGAACACAGTCTAACTTGGACTGATTTATTATACTCAAAATTTTTCCCATTCTTTTTTTTCGCAATACGATTGCAATTTCGTAACAAATTCGGACTAACACTCACATACAGCATCCACCCACACAATGATTGTAATCACTTATTATAAGTTTCTTTCGTTTTTTCTCTTTTTCACACTCGAAATAAACAACAACAGCAACGAAAATAAGAAAACGATCAACAATAATCAAACTTGTCACCTAATCGAAATATTGTATCGCGTTTATTTGCTAGTAAAAAAAAAGAAAAGATTTATTTATATAATTTTTTTCCTTTTCCATTTCTATTTGCTTAATATTGGAAAAGAATTGACATTTCTATTTGGTAAAAAAAAGTTAATTATTATTATTATTATTGTTATCATCATTATTTTCGTTGTTTTTCTTGGTTGGAGTTTTGATTCTTTGACTTTTGAACTGAAATTGATTTCAATTGATTTTTCTTCAAAAATTAAAAAAAAATTTGTTTTCAATTTCAACAAAAAAAAACATTATCATGATAAGGATTATAATGATGTAATCATCAATGATTTATGGAAATTTTCATTGTTCTCAGACAAAATATTGTTCACATGTAAAAAATGATTGATTCATCTAAAAGTAGTCATTTTTTTACGTAATTCATTTCTGTTTAAGGGTTTTAAAGGTTTTTTTCCATATTATCATCATTGATGTAATGTTATCACAATCACAATTGAATGATGTAAAGCTTTTTAAATTTCAATTTTTTTTACCATTTTATTTGCCACACACACACACACACACATTCAAGTAAAGGCAAACCATCATCATCATATGAAATAGAGTTGATGTTCCAAACAATCAATAGATTCCGATTCAATTAATTTTTCTTTTATTATTTCCATTCACAATGGTGACCATTAAAACGAAATCGAAATTGGATTTTTATTACCCAATTTCAACGAATTGAATTGAATTTTTTTCCATCTGATTTTAATTTTATTTTATTATTTCGATTATTACATTTTATTAGTATTATTATCAAAAAATTGTTTCAAATAACAAAAAAAAGAAGAATTCACTAAAATCAATTAAAAGAAAACAAAACGGATTTTTTTAGATGTCCAAAATTCCATTATAATTCTTCTTTGATCATTCTAGGATTGGCTGGAAAATTATTTGATAAGGATCAGGTAAAAGAAAAAAAGAGAAAAAAAAATCAATGAAAATTATGAAATAAAAATCATTTTGTTATTCATCATCATTATCATCATTATTTTGGCACAATAAACAACATTGAACATTATAATATTTGATCAAATGGATGTTTTGAATTTGGAAAAATCAATGAATAAAAAAGAAAATATAATGATCACCTTGAAGGAGAAAAAATGTTTTGTTATTTTTAGTTGATTTTTTTTTTTGTTCTCATTGATGTTCATAATGATGACATTTTGTTTGTTTATATTTTGTTTCATATTTAACAAGAAAAATGTTTAATAACTAAGAATTTATTTACTAACCTCGATAACCATAAAGACGAAGCTGATTGGGTAAACAAAATTTTGTATCTTTAATGGCCAATAAATTCATTTCGAATCGATTAATTTGATGGCTATTGATTCCATTTTCATCATTATTTTCATTATTATTATTATTATTGATATTGCTGTTGTTAATATTTGAATCTTTTGTCATTGATGATAATGTTGCTAATTTTTGTACATTATATTCATTAACAATGCCGGTATCATCATCATCATCATCAGCATCATCATAATCCAAATCACGTTTGACAAAAGTATTTTGTTTTAATTTAATTGTTTTTTGTGATTTATGATGATTAAAATCAAGGTTCAATCTTTCGTCATTATTATTATTATTATTTATTCCATTATCCATATAATCATTAACCATTCGTTCAATACGATTTAAATTTTCATTGTTTAAATATAATTTTTCATCATCCTAATAATTGGAATTTGATTTTTTTTCCAATTTCATTCCAATTATTTTATTAGATTAGAAAAAAAAACAATTTAAAAAAAAAATTTTATTTTCAAGGAAATTCTAAACAACAACAAAATGAAACATTTAAATTACTGTTCTGATATTGTGTTTTCCCACTTTCAAATGGCAAAAAACAAAAAAAAAATCTCGTAGTAGCGGTTGAATAATCTCATCTCATAGGGTAATAGGATTGAATAGTGTGTGTGTGTGTGTGTGGATATCGAGACATACAGTTTTGTGATCAGCATCATTGATATCAATGTGAGATTGTCATTCTCATCTGTATAGATTCTATGTAATAGATGATGATGATGATCATCATCATCATCAACATCAACTGAATAGAAATTATTTAACTATTATTGTTTGGGTGTAAAAAAAAGTCATTTTACGTATCATTTAATTGGAACTTCATTAAAATACTTTTGTATGTTGTTGTTGTTGTTGATGATGATGATGATCATAATGTTTTCCTATATGTATGACTTAAATTGTTATTTTCATTCATTTCACTTCAACTAATACTATAATTTGGATTGAAAATTGTTCATCCATTTCATTTTCATGAAAAAAACCGGGGATAAGAAAAAAAAACGAACTGATTATTTGTCCTTTGTTCTTTAATTATTTGTAGAACAGAACAGAACAGAGAAAACAAACAAAAAATTGCTATAGAATAATTAGATAGATGATTGTGATAAGATTCTATACTTAATCATGATTTTTTATTTCTTTTGTTGTTTTGTTCCTAGTTTCTTTTTCATAGAGGTAAATTGTTAATTAAATGAGCTTAATTTACTTGAAGAAACATGAATAAATATAAGTAAAAAAAATGTAAAGAATGTATATCCTGATTTTAATTTCTTTGTTTCTTAAAAAAAAAATTTATGATGATTATCATTTTTTTTCTAGAAAAAAAGAGATAAAGATAGAGAGAAAAATTCATCTTACCTGTTGAATAGTTGACATTAATGTATTTGATGAATGATGTTGTTCATCAACAACATTACGATCACTATTACCCAAATTTTCATAAACAATATTGCAACGTATCGATCGTTTATTACGTGGTTGTGTTGGACGAAAATTATCCTGATGACCATCACCTTTTAATGAATGTCGTAACATATGAAATTGATATGATGATAAATAAATTGGTCGATTTAATATAACCCATTGTACTGTTTCATGGCATGATGGTTGTGTTAATGAACCTTCATATGTAACATAATGTTTCCATGATGATGGTAATAGATCCATTATACTCAATGATTCAATTGTATAGCTTAAGCCACGTTTGGTTATATTTTTTAATAGACCAGTTATCTGTTTTAATGCTGCATTTGGTTGCTGTTGCTGTGACAGATGATAATTATGATTTATAATGTTTATTATTAACACTTACATTTAATGTAACCACCTGACCAGGATGTCCACTGACCATAATAAATATTGATATTGCAACTAAACCATTTGGTTCACGTTTTGCTTCCGACCAATTTGAATATAATTGTGAATTATATGCATATAATTGTAATTCACCGGGAAAACGTCGACCATCAATAGTATGTTCTGAACCACGATCATTTTCACGGCCAAAATGTAATGTTATATTTGATACAGTATATTGATAACTGAATGGTCCATCACTTATTGTAACATGTTTATCACCGCTTGATGTTGTTGATCGATCAACTAATAATGAAATACCACGACCAGTATTAACTAATTGTCCACGTACATAATCACCATTAATTTTAATTGGTTCTAAATATGGATCATATAATAATGTCGATGTATCAATATCGATTGGTGATTGTCGTTGACCTTTACTACAATGTGACCATCGTGGATTTAGACGGCCCCAAAAATCCGGTCCTTTTTATGTTGAAAAAGAAAAAGAAAATTCATTGAAAGGTGAATCCTGTGTAAATGTTTCAGTCAACATTATACAATAAAATCTATTGATTTTTTTCAAACTGAACCTATGATTATTTTTAAATGATACCAAAAAATGATAAAAAATTACATGTTAATTATAATATCAAATTGGTACTTTGAAAAAAAATATTCAAATATTTTACTTGGATTTTGATCATAGTAACCTGAAATGAACATATCAAATTTCAATAAATGAAACAACATTTTCCTCATAATTTGATATTTTCATTAAAAATTATCGACTGATTAATTAATTTCTCATTTTTTTCATTGTTTTATTGCTGTTGTTGTTGTTGTTGTTATTTTTCTTTTCATTCGTGTAAAATCAATTAAACATATAATAATAATGTTAATCATAATAAACGATAAAATTATGTTACCGATTGGATAGGAGGAAAATAAAAAAAGAGAACATAACAGAAAATTTAATAAAAAAGAAATTAGCATCATTAAGAAGCTAATTAAATAAGGATTATCGTGTTTAATTATTCGTAATAATTTTGTTTTTTATTTTCTATCAACTCAAATTTTCTCTGAGTTTTTTTTATGAATAGCATCTATACGAAAATATGATTTAATAAACAACTTGATAATCTGAATGAAAATGATTAAAACAAATGGTTTTTCTATAATTTATAATGAAGCAGTGAAAAAAAGTGATTTTTTTTGTTGATTAACTCATATTTACTGTTCCTTGTCAAAAATCATGAACAAGAATTTGATCACGATAATGAATGGAACTTTGAATTTTATCCGAAGAAAATTTATCAAACATCTTAAATGATTCACCGATTCATCATATCATCCCACGTGTAACAAAACAAAACAAAACAGAAAAAATGTTTCACGATTGATTTTTCTGATGAAGTCAAAAAAAAAAAATTTCCAGTAATGATTTATTCATCATTCAATTGACCATTGTTTTAATTCAAAATTAAGAAGAGAAAAAAAACATTGAATTTTATTTGTCGACGAGCAACAACAACAGTGATGATAATAATAACGGAAGTTTTTGTTCTTTCTTTCTTTTTTACCTGTGTTTATCTTCTCCCACTAATATTTTTTTTCTTGGTGTTTTTTTTATATATCCAGATATTTACATGGTTATGATAATCATCATCACGAGATTAATCCGATGATAATATTAATCAAAATGGATCATTTCATTCAAAATGTATCCGTTTTTTTCCAGATAATGATCATTAACATTTTCGATGTTTTTTTTCTCAAAATCAAAAACAAGAAAAAAAATAAGCATGATTAGATCAACAAATCTGTTTTCATGACAATTTTGTTGCTGTTGTTCATCATCATCATCACCTGATTTGACCTTTCATTTTTTTTCATGGATACATTTAAACAAAACAAAACAACAACAAAAATCAAATGAAATCAATATTTCGTGATCATCATCAATATCAATGTCAATAGCTTGGATGTTTTGTTTTATTTGATTTTTTTCCTTAAATCTATAATTTTCATTTCAAATTGAACTAATTAATTAGTTGAACAAGTGAATGCGAAATAAAAAAAAATTTAATTTCAAATTTTTTGTTTCATCTATTCTATAATTTTAATCTTAATTTTATTTTATAATAAAAATGAACAAAACAACAAAAAAATTATTATATGTTAATCATACCAGACATATATAGTCGATAGTGATCGTGATCATCTGATCAACTGATGATAATGACGATGGTGATTATTATTATCATCATCATCAGATGTGAAGCCCATGAATGATTGAATATTTTGGAAAGATATTAAAACAAATTTTTTGTTGTTTCTTTTTTGACATTTAATCAAGATTTTTTCTTACTTAATCGTGCTTTTTTTGCTCATCTATAGATAATTGTGTGGATTATCATTAAATTTTTTTTTTGTTCAAATTTATTTATTCATTCGTTGTTTTATTTCTTAGAAAAATCAAGATCAACATTTTCGTGTGATGTTAAGATGTGTTAGCAAAATAATAATAATAATATTACATTCATTTAATGATATGATGTTGTATAAATAATGTAACAGAAACAAAAAAAAAATTTACTTACCGGAAATTCCTTCATATGTCCACCATGATTCCCAATCAGCTTGAATAAATCGAATGAATTGAAAAAATATTATTGCCCTACAGAATGTATTTGGCCATTTTATAAATTGTGACATTGTTTTAAGTTTTTTTTGTTTTTGAAATTATATTCCAAAATAAATAATCAACAAATACACGATAAACACATACATAAACACTAACTATGAATAAAATTGATTTCATCTGAATAATGATAACGACACCAAACTAAGGATACATTGATTGTGTGACATGAAAGGCCATTTCAATTCTTTTTTTTTATCATTATTCCTTCTTGAATTTTATTTCACTGTTTCATTGTTATTTTTATCTTTGGCTATGATTTTTATTTTAGCTTGAAAATGGCGCCCGATTTTTGTTTATTGGCGCATGATCAACTAAAATCATTTTCATTCAACTATGATTGTCTATACTTTTGTTTGATCAAAGTTTGGCGCTCAAAATTCTATTATTATTATTATTCTTTTATTCCTTAGAAAAGACAAAGAAACCTGAGGATTGTTTAGTCTCCTCCCATAAAATTAGGGTGTCTATTGTAATCAACCAATCGGAATTTGAATTGCCGGAATATTTGTTAGTTTTTTTTTCAACACCAAAAAGTTCAAATAAATAAATAAACATTCTATCCAAATTTTTCTATGTTTGCATGCTATGGAATTGGATGTCAGGAAATGAAGAAAAAGAGAAGAAAAATTTAATTTCAAAATTTTTTCCCAGGTTAATTTTTTCTTCACTTTAATTTCATCCGAAAAAAAAATTTATTAGAATTTTCATTAATTAACTTTCAACACTGTGTGCTACATTCAGTGAAATATGAAAAATTTTCCTTTTCTCCATACATAATTAATCAAATTCATTCACTTCGCAATTCTTTCGACACAAATTTCAAAAACAAACCGGTCACTATATTTTTTTTTTAATTTTGACTTTAATTTAATTCATCTTTCGTTTTTCATTCATTCTATAGCTATACTATCTTGTTACATGTCGAAAATTTGTAACTAACTTTATTATATATGTTATATCACCAATAATATTATTTAATGTTATGTGTATTATCCTGCTGAACATATATTTGAAGAATCCAATTTCATTTTTAGTACTGTTATTTTTTTCCCGTTAGTTTCAATAATGATGATGATGATGATACGTTTAATGTCTGTTGGATAGTGGAAAAAAAATAACATAGAATATTATTTAACTTTAGTTGAAAATCATCAAGTAATTATAGCATCATCAATCAAGATGAGTGAAACAAAAATATGAAGTAGAATTGATGTTAACATTCTTATTATTATTATAAATAAATATTGTTCAAGTTCTATTTATCTATCTTCTCACTCTCTCTCTTCTAATATTAAATTATAATGTTAACATGTTGGTTTTAATATCATTAATTGTCATTTATCAATAAGAAGAAAAAAAATCCATAAAAATTATTGGTTACATATTTATTTTGGAAAAAAATTCTGGAAGCAAAAAGGAATCTTCAGAAACAAAAAATATCAACAATCTTAAATTTAAGATCTTAATACAAAACACAAAAACAAAACTTTAGGATTTTCTTTTTTTTGTTGTTGTTGTTACATTTTAAATGAAAATCAAATATCGAATTCAAAAGAAGAAAAAAAAATCATGTCGACAAAGTTAATTTCATTTTTGTTCACATTTCTTATTTCCCTCTCAACAATGTTCAATATACAAATACAAAACATTTGAAAATCATTTTGATACGTGTATTTTTTTGGATTGTAATCTTAAATCTTTTAATAACATTTTAATGTTCCTTTTTTTCTATTCATTTCACTGAAAAGAATTGTCGTTTTTTTTTGTTTCTAAGGATTGATGATGACATGGAAAAAAAATGAAACGAAACGAAAGCAAAAATGAATAGAAATTGTAATTCCAATTTATAATTCCAATCATTCCGAAAAACAAGCGGTACATTTAGATGATGATGATGGAATTTGTTTCCTCTTGGTTGGATATCGTTCTTTCTTATTTTCATCAATGATAAAATATTTTGGATTCGATCGTTGATGATTTCGATAACTATTATAACTATCTAAAAAGTGGTGAATTTAAGCTATTATTATTATTATTATCTCTATATGTGTGTGTGTGTTTTGATTCAAATTTTGAATATTAACTTGAAAAACTTTGATTGGAAATTGAATCGATCGAAAAATACAATGAAAAATAATAATGACCCTTTTATTTCTGATGATATTTGAAATTATATTATTTTTTTGTTGATTAAATTGAATTTCAAATGCCTCATCGACCTCGAATTGGATTTTTGTTTCGTTTACTTGAAACGATGATTCTCATTTTGTTGTTGTTGCACAAATGTTAAATATGACAAAACAAAGCAAATACCCATTTTATCAATGATAATGATTATTATTAATCTTTTTTTCTCTCCTTATTTTAATCGGATTTTCTTCATTTCATTTTCAATAGTTTTTTGTTTTTATTTCCATTATTCGATTATACAAAACACGTTTTTATTTTTGGTTGTTTGCACCCCAAAAAAAGACCTTTCTCGATACATTTTTTTCGTTTGTTATTTTTTTTCAATTTCAACTTATTAATATTTTTAACCAAAATAGTTTTCCGTTGTTGATATAAATTTACTTGTGACAAAAATTCACAGAAGTAAATAACTTAAAAATATCCAATAAAAAATTGAGAGAGAGAGAGAGAAAAGGAAAAAATTAACTTTATGAATCGATCGATCACATGTACCGATCGATCGATTGACAGATAGAGAGATATCCAACCATCCAATAAGCGAACACACACACACACTCAAAAATCGATTGATTTCGATAAAGAAGTCTTTTACGATTAGACTCTTGTTGTTGTTATCGTTTTTATTACTGTTATTATATAACAGGGGCAAAAAAAGGTCGAATTCATTTCAATAGAATTTTCCTTTCTCTTCAAACAAAAAAAACTTGGTTAGAATGAAAAAAAAATTTTCGACCAATTGTTTCAAGTTTGTGGACAGAAAAAAACTGAAGCCAAAACTGTTACTGATACGTACCATTTTTTTTCATGAATTTTCAATGTTTTACAACCGCACACACACACAGAATTAAGAAAAGAATAGTGGGTGGATAGAGAGAGAGAGAGAGAGAGAGAGAGAGAGAGAGAGAGAGCACTATATTTTTT